AAAAAGCTAAACTTGCTCTCCAGACTCTTCCCCTGAACTTCAGACTCAGATATGTATCTGCATCCACTTGTCTGCATTACAGACATCTCAGAAACTAACCTCTCTAAATGGAATTCCTGCAATTTTACCAAAACCTGCTCTTCCAGCAGTCTTTCTCATTTTGGTTGATGGTGACCCCATCTTTCCAGCTGCAAAGATAAAAAACTGTGAAGGCATCCTATACAAGGCTATTTCTCCAATCCATCAGCAAGTTCTATTGAATCTGTTCTTCAAATATATTTAGAATTCAACATACAACCACCTCTCCTGGTCCTCGCTGCTGGTCCAGGCCACCATTACCTCTTGCTTGGATCATCATTTCTTGTCTCCCTGTTCCTTCCCTTGGCCCCTATAATCTATTTTCAAAACAGAAGCCAGTGTGATTCTTTTAAATCGATCCTCTTCTCAAACCTCACCTTTTGTCCAGTTAAAGCCAAATTCCTTGCAATGGACAAAAAGACACTGCATGGTCTGCAGCCTCTCATCTCTCTGATTCATACTCACCCACAACCTCACTCCACTCATGCACACTTTTCTTCTCGCTATTCCTTGAACAACCCAAAATGTCCTTCACCTCAAAGACTTTGTACCAGCTCTCGTCTACCTGGGACTCTCTTCCCTGAGGTGTCACTCTTACTTCCTTCTTGCACCCCCAATCTCCCTTACTCTCCTCTATTTTTTTCCATGGCATTAACCTTCTAGCATACCGAATATAATCATGTATATTTTCTGTCTTGTTCTCTGATGTATCCCCAGTGTAGGATCTCAGTAAATACTTTTTGAATGAATAACTAAATGAACAGTCTGGTTTATTAGGTGAGCATGATAATTAATTTCCTCTCCACCTCTCCAAAAGTATAGAAGAAAAAAAAAAACTGCCTCGAGTCAATTCTGACTCATGACGACTTGTAGGCCAAAGTAGAACTGCGCCTTAGGGTTTCCAAGGCTGTAAATCTTTATGGAAGCAGACTGCCATGTCTTTCTCCTCCAAAGTGGCTAGTGGGTTCTAGTGGGTTCAAACCACAAACAGCTGACCTTTTGGTTAGCAGTCAAGCACTTAACCACCATGCCCCCAGGGCTCCTTCTCCATATAAATATTTAATTAAATTGAATCCTTTTGTTTCTGTGAATGTCAGATTTAAGGATATTTTTATTATAAAGGTGGAAGTAGAACTAGAGATGGATGACTTGGCCCTGGATTTGACCCAGAGGCTGAAAGCACAAACCACTACTGGCTGACTGAGAGGAGGGGAGGATTAAAGTGTCAGCATAAGCTGAGGGACGAAACCAAAAGGAGCCATGTTTCAATTGAACCTCAAGTTTGCTCCAAAATATGCCCTTAATGAAAGCTAATGGAGCCAAATCCATTCAAAAATCACTTGTTTGATCATCATGATTTAAGAATGTCTTAGTTTTACAATTTTTAATGTAGATCACAATTTGAAAAGAGTATTCACTTTGCACAGGGGTTAGTTTAATAGAGAATTTAAAGAGTAATTTCTCTGGTATCTTTTAAGAGTTTGTTTTTTTATGTCAGTATTGATCTAACAGAAACTTGTCAAGAGACAAAGAAGCTCTAACTTCCAGGAACCGCTGCTCAAAAAAAAGAAAAGAAAAAAAAAGTCAGAAATAAAAAGAACACGTTTTTGACCCTCACAACCCAGAATCTACCAATGCCCTGCAGAGGAAGAGAGAAATGATAAGGGGGATTGGATTCACAACTGAACACCTTGGGTTATTTCTATCCTCGTGCCTCCTGCCAGATGCAGAGCCACAAGCAAACTTCTCCCTTCTGATCGTGGAGTCCAGAGGCTCTGTGGTTTTCTCAAGAGTTGAGTTGAGGCTCTCATTGTGCTTGGAGATTCAGATACCAGTGTAGAGTATGGAATTTTTTCAGCCAAGCTCCCAGCAGAGAGTAGTGATAAATTTTCTAATCATCTAAGGACCCAAGGTGAAGAGGATTTTTAGAAGACTGATAGCTCCTGAGCAGACAGAGGGAAGAGTGCGGAAAGCTACCAAGAACCCCAAGTACATCCTCTTCATCCCATTCCTTTTCTTCGGGGCATAAATCTTCATACTTGGAGCCTAAATTGAGGTAGGGTGGGGTCAAGAAGATAAAGCCTCCAGTGCTCAAAGATTCAGCCCTCTGTTCCTTCATTGCAGCTTCTACTACAAGGCTTCTGAGAGGAAGGCGTAGGGAAAGTCTTCACTCGTAGCTGAGAAAATCCATCTGCCATCGAATCAATTCCGACTCATGCTGACCCCATGTGTATCAGAGTAGAACCGTACTCCATAGGGTTTTTAATGGCTGATTTTTCAGAAGTAGAAGATCACCAGAACTTTTTTCTGAGGCACCTCTGGGTGGACTTGAACCTCCAACTTGGTAGTTAACCATTGGCACTACCCAAGGAAGCCTTCATTGCTGAGGGTAAATTCAGAAGTGGTACCTAACATGCACACTTAAAGCATGTTTAATGAAGTTATCAAAAGGCATAAGAGAGTCTGTGGTTGTTGAAACTTGAAATACTCACCCACCTCGGGAATAAATTACAAACTCTTTTCTAAATCTCAGTTACATTTTAGTGGATACCATCTTTACGTTACGTCTTTTCATCAGGGCACTGTCCCGTTCCACCTGTGGGGTTCGGTCACACCTGGCCCCAGAGCAGGTCCTTGCCATAAAAACAAACAAACAAAAAACCCCAATGCCATTGAGTCGATTTCAGCTCATAGCAACCCTATAGGACAGAGTAGAACTGTCTCATAGGGTCTCCAAGGAGCAGCTGGTGGATTCGAACCACTGACCTTTTGGTTAGCAGCTGAGCTCTTAACCTCTGTGCCACCTGGGCTGTCAGCATACCTGTAGGTTCAACCCAACCACTTATGAGCCCATAACCAGTGGTGCTGCCGTGAGCCCAAAGCCCTCGCACGCGTTAGCATGCGGTCGCTGAACGAACAGGTTTCTGCATCGGTGGCATCTGGATTTCACATGTACTTCACGGAATTATCGTAAGAGCTACAGGATATGATGTATGGAAAGCACCTGGCACAGTGCATGGCGCGTAGTAGACTCTCAGTAAATAAGGGTTGTTTTTTCAGCTGCTGCTATCTTATCACAAGTGAGCTAAGAGCTATTGTGTCCCAGACAAGCTGGAGCCTCCCCACCCGGAGTCCAGGTCCCCCTCATCACCCCATTTCTCCATTGTCCGCTACGCCTGAACCCAGCCTTCAACCTCTGCTCAGAATCCATTCCGCTTTCTGGAAACTGAACTCTCGGTTGCTGGTAGAGTTTTGTTCCAGACAAAAGAGACCTCTCCCTCCACCCTGACTTAGGACCCTGCTACAGGCACACGCAAGCGCACACTCACACACATACACACTCGTAAATTTAGCGTCACTACTGCTTGGAGACAACTGCATTAGGACCCACCCGGGAGAGAACGTCTGCCCGGGGATATCAATGTCAGCCTGACTCACAGTGACTCAAAATTTTTGAGGCCCTCTCCTTTACCGTTGTCTGTATCTGTACTCTCAGAAAACTGGGAAGTGTGAACAGAGAAATAGAGACCCTCGTGATCATTAGACAAATACATTGGAGGTATGAATTAACGGTTTTCCTACTGAAAAAGCAAGTATCAAAAACCCAAAGACACCACAGATCTGCTTGAGCTATGGGGCCACTTGCCAACCACAGAAGCATCCAGTTAGGAAAACACCTGGGGCCAACCTGCTCTCTTCAACGCCCTGTGCAAGAACAGAGAGGCCCAGGCATTCTGCAGCAGCTGGTCTGCGGTAGTGCAGTGGTTAAGGCTTAGTGGGGCAGCAGGAGCAGCGGCAGGTAAGGAAAGTCATTCCAGAACCCCTACAGGGATAAAATTTCCCGGGGCACCAAAAGAATCAAATAACGACAAAGACGAGAGCTAACATTATTAAGTGTTCACGCTGAGCTAGGTACCGTGCTAAGTACTTTATATCCATTTCATGTTTAGAAACCACCCTCTGAGCATGGTATTAGTACTAATATGCTGGTTTGATAGATAAGGAATACAAGAATAAAGAAATTAAATGAGTTACCTAGAGTCACGTAACAAGTGTTACAGCAGAGATTTAAATGCAGGTCTGCAGAACTCCAGAACTATCCATCTCAAATTACTACACTTGCAAAGGCAGCAATGGGCTAACAATGTTCACATTAGGATTTTCTTCAATAACACATGAATAGCTCGGCCTCAGGAGCTAGGAGACCTTCTGCAGTTAGAGAAAAGCACACCTCCCGTCTCTTTCCACTGGAGGAAACTATAGGGGAAAATAGACACTCAGAGGGGACCATCTCTGCACATTCTGTTGGGCAGCCTTCAGAGGGGAAAAAGAATGGAGCCCTCCACTACAGGTTCAAAGGAGGTACCGGTGACAAGCATGAGCTTAAATCAGTTAGAGACTCCCTCCCCCTCAAGAAGGCCCAGCCCTCAGGGTCCCTGCTGCTCTCATCCGTCACTACCATTTTCCCGCCTATACTTGCTTCTTAGCAAATGGCTTTAACTCTGCTTCCCTGCCCCACATACCTCTCCCTCACTCCTTTTGGCCCACAGCTCCTTACTGCCTAAGTTCTTTTCCCTTTTCCACCAACTGGGTAGATTTGGCATTTGGGTTTTAGTGGATCTCAGAAAGAAGGCTTCTGGAATTTGAGCACTATAGGGTGACGACTGCAAAGCTCCTTTCCTTCCCCACCTTCAACCAGATCATTTCTAATAAACGAGACCAAAGTTACATATTATACAAACAAGGTTTCCAGGGACATCCTCAATCAACCACTCGGTTTCCCATTGTGAAATGAAATACATACCACTTTTCTTGCAGGCAAAATATTGATAGCAATTATTTTTAACCGAAGTTTTACTTCTTAAATTCTGTTCCCTTTACGATAAAATTGTTTTTTTGGAAAAAATCCTAAACGCACTTACGATCAGCTAGTTGTGCTTGAGCTCTTTCTTCCTCAGCTTCCAACAGAGTTTATGAACTGTGACAGCCAATTTCTCTAGCAGCTCTATGCTACATACAATAGCCACCCTCTCTTTAAAAGCCTCCCATTTCGTTATCAGTTAAGACGGCAGGAACCTGGTTACTGATAAGCTGATACTGATGAGCCGTGCTGTTGACTAACGTCACTCGCAGTTTTGACCACATTCTCGTCTGTTTGAACAGTCCTTGATGAAGCTGTATTTCCGATTATAAAATTATCTTCATTTCATCTCAATTATGATATTTGTCTTCCCCTCTGGGTGAGTTTCTCAGCAAAGCCTCACCAGTGCCGTTGGGTGGCAGGTCCCTCTCTGTCCCGGAGCGGGTCGTTAATATCACCTCCCAAATTCTGCCGCTCCGAAGACCCACAGTACAGGTTTCTGCAGCGAGGTTTACTACTGATTACTCAATGTCAGTATTTGGAAGACTCAAATACATATTGGCGCTTACTGTATGCCAGGCTGTACGCAATGACTTTTCACCTGCTGTCGTGTGTTCCTCAGAAGCTTGCAGGAGGCTCAGAGAGGTTAATTAACTTACCCACAGCAACAGTGGGGCAAGCTACAGCTAAAGTCCAAAGCCTCCAAAACTGGACTTTTTCCACATGTTACCAAATGGTCTGTCTTGGATGGTTGTAACAGAGACTTAGAGACACATGTCGCAATTATCAGGATTCTAGATCAACCAACTCTTATCATCTATGTAATTCTTTTTAAGACACTGCTAACTTTGGGATAACCAAAGTCCTCCCTGATAGAGTAGAAAGTGCATGGGCTTTAGAAACAAGCTGGTTTTCCTATTTACCAGCAGTGTGACTTAAGCTAAATTACCTAACCTCTCTAAATCTTTTCTGCAAAGGGTACTATTGTGAATATTAAGTGAATAACATGTAAGGTGTCAACCATGGTAGTGAATATCAGCTGCCTTCTGCTCTGTCATGTACTCATCCTATTCTACCCATCACGACATGCTAAAAAAAAAAGTGACGAATATTATTTGAAAGGATGGAACTATTGATAAGATGTACCATATTAAAATGTCACATCTGTGTCAAATCAGTGACAAGATTTAGGATAGCACCTAACCTTCAGTCTCTCTTCTTTTGTATTTGTATCAAGACCCACCAGTGTAGTCAAATTACCTCTTCTCTCCATTTAAAGGTCACCACACCTAAGAGATTAAAACCTAAAGGAAAGGAATGATGGTAGAACCCAATTGCATGCTACGCAATCTTTGGATGGAACATGATTTTATATAGGAGACAATCTATCATTTATCTCCACTGCTAGAGAACCGCAGAAAACCCACTTAAGCAATAAACCACAGTGCCTATTGATATGCCCATTGGTGTGTCGGACACTGAGAAAGATGTAAGAGAAGTATGAGGCTCACTCCTGCCCTCAGAGAACTTAAGAATCTGTGAAAAAAGAAAGGGGGTGGGGGGAATGCAGCATTTTACAAATGTGAAAATTTGGAATTTAAATTAGAAGAAATTTGCAACAATCTTAAACACTTTTTAAAATGAGGATGGATTATTGAGGGACTGTAAAGTATCCTTTCTTCAAGAGTGCGATTTTTTTCTTTCTGGAATGGTTGAGATATGGTTCTTCCCTGATTCTAGATCTCTTCACATCTTTTACAATCACAGGCGGTTTCCGGAGCAGTACTTAGGCACTTGAACCATCTCCGCTCTCAGATTTCCTTTTCAAACAGTCCTTTGCTGTTGCACTTACTGTATTTGACTTTTATGAAGGTGATTAATGGCGTTTTCAATGCTCCCTTGAATGTTCCACATATTTGGTTAAATCCAGGTAGGCTAACATCTATCACGGGGCTAGGGGTGGCTCAGTGGGAGAATTCTCGCCTTTCATGCTGGAGATCTGGGTTTAACTCCCAGCCAAAACACCCCAACCTCAGCCACCACCCCTCTTTCAGTGGAAGCTTGCGTGTTTCTATTATACTCAGCGTGTTTCAGCAGAGCTTCCAGGCTAGGACGAACTGGGGATGACATAGGATCGGGCAGTATTTAGTCCCGTTGTGTATGGGATCACCTTGAGTCAAGGTCAACTGGACAGCAGCTCACAACAAGAGCAACAACAACATCTATCAAGGTTCCACCTGGTTTGGTAATAAAGAAGGTAACGTTTGAAGCAAGACTTGAGGGGCCTGAGCAGCCATGGGAGAAAGTTTCTCTTTAATAAGCCCTGTATCTGCAAGGGCTCTGCAAAATGTAGAATTGAGAAACTCCTGCCGATGTACCCACCTGGCAGGGAGAGGCTAGGTGAGCCTGTGTGCAACCACAGCCTGGCCAGATCCCTTCGAGGATCTCCCACTAGTCCTGGAGATCTTTGATGGTGCACCTCAACTATGATTTGCCCTCAGGCCACACATTTCTACCTGAGGTAGAAGTGACTGTATGCCTTGACGGTAATGCCCTTTGATCAAAATGTCCTTGAACTGAGGGGAAGGCAATGCTTGTCTATGGAAGAACAGGGCAACATCTGTGACAATTCATCATGCAATACCGTGAAAGGAAAGGTCAAAACCTGAAATGAGAACAAAAGAGACTTTTGCCGCTGGAAGAGCAGAAATGTGTTTGGTGTGAGTGTCTGTGTGTGCACATGCACATTTTTGTTTGCGTGTTTGTGTGTGTGTTGCGCTCATGTGGAGAGGGCATTTGGAGGGGACATCAAACAAAAATGAGTTTAGCAATGTTGAAAATCTCACTACATTGCAATTTTAGTTAGTGGGGTCCTGGTGGCACAGTGGTTAAGCGTTTGGCTGCTAACCAGAAGGTCGGCAGTTCGAATCCACCAAATGCTCCTTGGAAACCCTATGGGGCAGTTCTCCTCTGTCCTAAAGGGTCGTTATGAGTCAGAATCAACTCAACGGCAACAGATTTGATTTTGGTTGGTTAGTTGGTTAGTTGGTCTTCCTTGCAGCTTGGGGAACTAGGTGTACTTGCTGCAGATCCACTACTAATTTCACAGCTTATGACAGCCCAAAGTCCTTCCTACGATGTCTGCTAATTGCTGGGGACCATTATCTCATGGTCTCCTCGGTCTCGGGCTTCTGCGTCCAGGAGTCCCATTTCTTTTTCTGTCCAGTGTTGACCCAGAACTCAGCCCCGTCTCCAGCTTGCCCAAGAAATCCCTTTATACCAAACATTTCTAAAACGTGGAACATCCGGCTAGAGACTTGGACATTGCGGGAAAAATCCTAGGGTCTCCCCTAGGGCTCTCTCTCCTTCCTCCCCTCTCACCACTGCTCCTCACCACCCGTCCCTCCCAGAGATGCTCAGGAGCACTTCAGTTCTCCCCAGTGCCTGTCCTCAGATGGACATACCCCAAACCTATCAAGGTGCTAAGCAGCTAGAAAGGCTGCACCCTTTTCAGAAAGAGGGTAGGGTTATAGAGAGAAAATTTATTTTTCTCTGTCACGTCTGTCTGGATCAACTTCATCTCCCCATGAGCACTGTTTTCCCCCCTTCTAGAACCTTCTCTCCTCTTACTTGATTTCTACAACTCATTAAATATGTTGACTAATGAGACTTGCTGCTTTACCCTTTCAAGGAGTAAAAGTTTTCTAGAAAAGTAGAAAAGCCTCATAAATACAGATGTCTGGTTAACATCTAAGCATCTATGGAAAAAAAAAAAAAAGGGAACTGTAGTATTAGTGTTTTAACCCAGACAATTCTAATCACACCTAATGCATAGTCACAAACTTTACTCGCTCATAAAATTAGTCCTGTATGTCCCTACCTCACCCCAACCCCCTAATTCCTGATTTTCCTCTTCACATTTAAGAGGAAATAAAAACTTAACCTCCTTTTCTATTTATATCATATTAAGTTCTTTCAGATTTTTTTATGATTCCATAACGAGTGGAAATCTTCCTATTTCCAGGGGTTTAATTGGTTGTTCTCGATTTTACTGAATCAGTTAGCCTTAATAATTGGCTCCTGCTTCATCTAGTACGTTCTGTGTGGATCGAAGCCTTTGGATTACAGTCGTCTCTCTCTCCCTCTGTTTGAGAAATTAGAAAATTAAAACCAGACATGAAAGCTAGTGTTTTTCACCCTTCTCGCTTGTTTCTATTCTAAAATTCTGAAAAGAGCCTTGTTTACCAGAACGCTAACAAAGGTGCTTGACTTGAGATTTTGGGCAAGGACTTATTTTAAAGCCACATGTTCACCTGAAAGACAGAATATTTTTTATGTGAAAAATTATATTTTTACGTTTTGTATTCTCCTTCTCTCCCATATACACACATCCTTGCCACATCCTTCTCTAAAAGGAAAGAAAGAAAAAATATTTAGTCAATGGTTTGTATAAGATTTGTCTAAACCTTTCCACATTTTAACAAGATCCGCATGTTTCCTGAAAGTTTGGGGTAGTTTAAACAGAAGAACAAGCAAATGAGTAGCTGGACATTGTGGGTTTCCAATAAAAATTAACTGTAGTTGGTGTGGTGACCAGTCTCCAAGATAGCTCCTAATGATCCCTGCATCTTGATGTTCACAACCTTCTGTACTAGTCATGATTTTCCAGAGAAACAGAACCAAAGATGTGCAGAGAGAGATAGGGAGAGAGATTTTTAGAAGGTGGCTCACTCAACCATGAGGGCTGGCAAATCCAAAATCCATGGGCCAGGCAGGGTGGGAAACTCTGGCAGTCTTAAGTATGAAATCCACAGGTCAGGCAGGCTGGAAA